GCAGACTAAACAGACAGGGATCAGGCAGGTCGTAATCAGGCAGGCAGGCAGAATGTAGGATAACGCTGGAAGTACTCACAAGTTGGCTGGAGACGTTCTGGCCCTGAGGTGTGAGTGAGCAGGGTTTAAGTAGTGGCAGTGACAGGTGAAACCAATGAGTTAATTGCGGAGTGTGGAGGTGAGTGAGAGAGAGCCGGTAGGTGGAGCCAGAACTACACAGAGCCCCCCCCTCAAGGGCGGATTCCAGACGCCCTGGGCTGTTCAGGATGGGCTCTGTGAAACTCCCTGATGAGGGACTTGTCCAGGACGCGGCTGGAAGGCACCCATTGGCGTTCTTCTGGGCCGTAGCCCTCCCAGTCGATCAGATATTGGGTCCCCCTACCCCATTTGCGGGACTTCAGGATCCACCTCACGGTGTATGCAGGTGACCCGTCGACGAGCCGGGCGGGTGGCGGGGACGCGGAGGCCAAACTGGACGCCCTGACAGGCTGGTATTGCGGGCCAGGGATACGCCGGCAGTTGGCAGAGAGCCTGCGGGCCTGGTTCTGGGAGGCAAGAGGTAACCAATGTGGGGGAGCAGCAAGTCTGGCATAGCGCAGTAGGTATTCCCGTCCCCCCTGTCATGTGGGGTGGGTATTGACGGAGGACTCAGGTGCGGAGATGAGGGAAGACAAGGTTTATTATAACAAAACGGTGGAAGTCCAGACATGAGTACAAATCAAAGCTGTGGAAAACTGTGGGCAAAGTATCAAAGCAAAGCAAACAAGACTGTGGCAAAACTATGACAAAGTAACAAAATAAAGATGAACCAAAACTGTGACAAGACTGTGGCAAAAACTGTGACAAAAACAAACCTGGCGTGGGGGAGACGACGGACAAGACGGACTAGAGGACAAGAACACACTCGCACAAGACAAGGGGAAACGAGGACTATTTAAACACATGAGGAGGGGAACCCCAGGTGTACACAATGGGTAATCATGACATGACGAGACACCAGACGTGACACCCCCTACTGAGCTTGGTCTCTTCACTGGACACGACCGGACGATATGACCAGCTCCCCCACAATAGAGGCAGAGCCCCTGCTGCCGCCAGCGCTGGTGCTCCTCCTTAGACAGGGCAGCCCTTCCTAGCTGCATGGGTTCAGGTACCTCTGCCTCCTGAAAAAAAAGGGGGAGTGACAGGGGGAACCACTGATAACCAAGGAGAGGGGGCTGAATGACGCTCTCCTTGCCGCTCCTGGAGGCGGAGGTCCACCCGGGTGGCAAGCTCCTCCAGTCGTTTGAGGGACTTGGGAAATTCCCTGGTGGCTAGCTCGTCTTTTATTCTGGCGTTTAAGCCATGAATAAAAACGTCCATCAGAGCCCACTCGTTGCACAGGCTCTCTGCGGCGAGCAAGTGGATGTCAATAATATAATCGGACACAGTCCTCTCCCCCTGCCTGAGAGTCCAGAGGCCCCGGGAGGACTCTCGGCAGGGCAACACCGGGCTGAACACCCTGGTCAGTTCCTGGGCAAAATCAAAATACGAGTGGCAAACGGCAGTGTTGTTCTGCCACTCGGAAGCCCCCCACAGTCTTGCCTTACCCTCCAACAGTGAAATGACATACGTGACCCTGGCTCGGTCCGTAGGGAAACAGGATGGCTGCAGCTCAAAGTTGATCTCACACTGAGTGAGAAATGCACTGTTCAGTCCTTTAGGAACCAGAAGCAGACTCTTCCACCGTTCCTTAATCTCTCCATGCGCTCACGGTATTGTAGCCGAGCGTTCTGGGTTCGTCAATGTGGGGCAACTGGATTTATATATATTTATCTTGCGAGCAATAACCGGACAAGAGACGTGACAGCGTGTTCAGCGGTAACCCCGCTTCTCCACTTTATTCTTCTTTTCTCGGCAAACACCAAAACACTCACGCGCTCCCCCTGCTGTCAACCCAGTGAACTCTCGCTCTCTGGAAGGGACACGCCTTCTTATCCATTCTAACACCAAACAGTATGTTACAGTATCAACATCATTTTCATGGCTCTTATAGTTTTGGCTCAGGAGGTCAGAATGTGAAGGGAACTTTTGGCGGTTGAAAAAATAAATAAATAAAAGACCCTCTCATTCAACGTGATTTTTAAATCAAGTCTCTGAAAACGTACAGAGACAGAAAGTTGTGTAGTTATGAACGACTTTATTGCAACTTTTACAAAAATGTACAATATATAGAAACAGTTTACAATATGTGAGCCTTTGGTATTAGACGCTAAATGACTTCCTAAATTTAAACAATTCTCAGCCATTTAACACCAAAAGTCGTGAGCAACAGTTAACTATACACAAAGTGTGTGTCTTCACAGTTCATTAGTCTAGTTGGGGTTTGTTTTTTTCCGTCTCTCTCAGCGCAGGCTAATGTTTCCCATAGACTTCCATTCATTATGCTAAGCTAGGGCACTGTGCTAACAACGTAAACGACTAACATAACAACTTAATTGAAAAATTTCTGAGTCATTTCACACCACACATCGTGAGCAAGTGTTAACTGTATGCATAGTATGTGCACACAGTGTGTGTCTTTATGGTCCATTATTCAAGATGGACTTTGTGTTCCTCAACCTTTCCCGGAGCAGGCTAATGTTTCCCTACGACTTCCATTCATTATGCTAAGCTCGCACACTGTGCTAACTGCGTAAACGACTAGCATAACAACTTATTTTAAAAATTTCTGAGTCATTTCACACGATATATCATGAGCAACTGTTAACTAATTAGACAGTGTGTGTCTTTATAGTCCATTAGTCTAGTTGGGGTTTGTTTTTTTCCGTCTCTCCCAGGACAGGCTACTGATCCCAATAGACTTCCCTTTTTTATGCTAAGCTAGCGCCATTTGCTAACGGCGTAAACGACTAGCATAACAACTTAATTTAAACATTTATCAGTCATTTAACACCAATCATCGTGAGCAACTGTTAACTGTACACACAGTGTGTGTCTTTATAGTCCATTAGTCTAGTTGGACTTTGTTTTTTTTCCCCTCTCTCCAAGTGCAGGCTAATGTTTCCCATAAACTTCAATTCATTATGCGAAGCTAGAGCAATGTGCTAACGACTTAAATGACTTATTGAACAATTTAATATAAACATTTCTCAGACTGTCTGACTAATGAAAAAGTACAAGTCTGCCGTTGACATGCATTGTTATTCGTCGTCATGGAGACAGGCAGCTCTGCTCTGTGCTGGTTCAACCGCCAAAAGTTCCCTTCACATTTTGACGTCCTGAGCCAAAACTGTAAGATCCATGAAAATTACGTTGATACCGTGAGCACCTGGAGAGATTAAGGAACGCGTCGCTGCTTTTCATTTTTAAATTGAGCCAGAATTGTGCCAACAGGAGCGATTTCAAAATATGACACTTTTTTGGTCTCTTCCAGTTTTCGGTCAGCTTTTAACATTAAGTTTCCAGGTAAAAGTTGAAGGATACCTCTGACTCTGAAGGTCACAGCTTAAAATCTAAAAGCTTAAAGGCTTTGATAGTTACAGTATCTGAGAAGATGACACATTTTCCTACGTTTTAAGGTATAATTTCTGTATGGAAGTTGAAGGATGTGGAAGTAATCTGAAGGAGTTTAAAGATATTTTGAAGAATGGAACTGGCTGAAAAACCTAGAGTAAGTCACATGACCCCTTTGATCTCCCACTCTAAAGTGCCTCCATAGGAATTACATGGTCAACATTTTAATGATTTTTAAACTGTGATATTTCAAAAACCGCTGGATATTTTGAAGAGAAAAGACAACTGGTAATAGCCCAAACCCCTGAGAAACATTTAAAAGTCGAATGGTGTTTCTACCTTAAAGTAAGCTGAAATAGTTCAAGCTGAAGTAGGTTAAACTTTTTAGAGGATTTGAAGGTTCTGCCATTCATTTTCAATGAGGGCAAAAAGTCAGAAAAAGTTCAATAATTCAAAAAGTTTAAAAGGTTTCAACACAAAAAGACACAGACACAATGTCCAAAATAAACGCAATGAATTGATATCTTATTTGTTTAAATAGGCTGAAGTATGTTGAAGTAGTTAAATGTCAAAAAGCGTACAGAATAATGTTAACAAAGAAATTGAAAAACAGGAAAACAGTAGATAGAAAAACCCCACAAAAAATATGTATATGGAATAGTCCATCTTCTTAATGCTCTACAGATTTAAGGACTTGTTTTCCTTCATCTGATTTTAAAATTATTTAGATTTCACTCTGAGCAGAAACTCAAAGAAGTCATCAAACATTTTATAAATGGAGTTAAATCTCTCCCCTCCCTGGAATGTCTGATGATCCTGATCTACCTCCTGCTCTTAAACACAGTAGATCCAGTGGGGGGGCTGGGTGGTGTCAAGGAGAGACAGAAAAAAAGCACATGGAGGCCGTAAAGAGAAGCTGAAGTCTGCCTGTTGTAACCCTGCACTGATAACACAGCTGAGACAGAACAGGTTTTTTCTTTATAGCAGTAAGATGACGTGTTTTTCTCTGCAGAACACACCCTGCTTGTTTGGACTCTGGTCACATGTTTCAGATGGGCGTGAGCAGCAAGCTGTAACATGACACTGCTGACACTCCTTGTTTCCTGGTTCAGGTGAGATTGTTTATGCTCAGAGAAACGGGAACTATTCAGACGTTACTGTGAAGAGGAGAAATGGCGCAGCAGGGAAATCATCTGGACCGACAGAAATTCTGCTGTTCGATCTGTTTGGATCTCCTGAAGGATCCAGTGACTATTCCCTGTGGACACAGCTACTGTATGAGCTGTATTAAAGGCCACTTTGATACGGAGGATCAGAAGAGACTTCACAGCTGCCCTCAATGCAGGAAAAGCTTCATACCGAGGCCTGTCCTGGAGAAAAGCACCATGTTAGCAGAAATATTAGAAGACCTGAAGAAGACTGGACTCCAAGCTGCTCCTGCTGACCACCGCTATGCTGGACCTGAAGATGTGGCCTGTGATGTCTGCTCTGGGAGAAAACTGAAAGCCAGCAAGTCCTGTTTGGTCTGTGTGGCCTCTTACTGTGAGGAACACCTTCAGCCTCATTATGAGTCACCTACATTTAAGAAACACAAGCTGGTGGAGCCCTCCAAGAAGCTCCAGGAGAACATCTGCTCTGTCCATGATGAGGTGAAGAAGCTGTTCTGCCGCACTGATCAGAAGTCCATCTGTTATATCTGCTCTGTGGAGGAGCATAAAGGCCACCACACAGTGTCAGCGGCAGCAGAAAGGACTGAGAGGCAGAGAGAGCTGGAGGGGAGGCGGCAACAAATCCAGCAGAGAATCTAGGACAAACAGCAAGATGTGGAGCTGCTCCAGCAGGAGGTGAAGGCCATCGATAAGTTTGCTGACAAAACAGTGGAAGACAGTGGGAAGATGTTCACTCAGCTGATCCGTTTCATCCAGAAAAGACGCTCTGATGTGGAGCAGCAGGTCAGATCCCAGCAGCAAACTGCAGTGAGGGGAGTCAAAGAGCTTCAGCAGGAGCTGGAGCAGGAGATCACTGAGCTGCAGAGGAAAGACGCTGAGCTGCAGCAGCTCTCACACACAGAGGACCACGTCCAGTTTCTGACCAGCTGCCCCTCACTGCCAGCACTCAGGGAGTCCAGACATTCATCCAGCATCAGGGTGCGTCCTCTGAGCTGCTTTGAGGATGTGACAGCAGCTGTGTCAGAGCTCACAGACAAACTGCAGCACATCCTGACACAGGACTGGACTAAAGTCTCACTGGCAGCCGCTCAGCCGGATGTTTTACTGCCACCAGAACCAGAGAGCAGAGCCGACTTCTTAAGATGTTCACGTGACATCACACTGGATCCAAACACAGCACGCAGTTACCTGTTACTGTCAGAGGGGAACAGGAAGGTGACAGATATGGATGATCCTCAGTCTTATCCTGATCATCCAGACAGATTCACTTACTGGCTTCAGGTCCTGAGCAGAGAGAGTCTGACTGGACGTTGTTACTGGGAGGTGGAGCGGAGAGGGGGGGGGGGAGGAGTTTATGTAGCAGTCGCATACAAGAATATCAGCAGGGCAGGAGATGGGGATGAATGTAGATTTGGATATAATGACAAATCTTGGTCATTAGATTGTAATAATAATGGTTTTACATTTTGCTCCAACAGCATAGAAACCTCCATCTCAGCTCCTCCTTCCTCCAGAGTAGGAGTGTACCTGGATCCCAGAGCAGGTATTCTGTCCTTCTACAGCGTCTCTGAAACCAGGACTCTCCTCCACAGAGTCCAGGCCACCTTTACTCAGCCTCTCTATGCTGGACTCTATGTTTATTCTGGATGCTCAGCAGAGTTGTGTGAGCTCAGATGAACTCTCCTCTCAGCTTGTTGCTCAGAGTTCACTGCTGTGACGTCTCTGTTGCTTTTATTTTTCTGTTCCTTCCTGTGTTTGTGCAGCCGTGGAGGAAATCACTGCTAACCAGGAGTTTCATTCACAGAAAGTCTGAACTTCTCTGAGCTCTGATTTATTTGTATTTTGTTGTTTTTCTTTCCCTTCACACAGAAACCGGCAGAGCTTATTTTATCACACAATATTTTACATCTCATCACTTTGGAAATGTGGAAATTATTTACAGTTTTTGTTGTTTTAAATGAAAGAAGTTGTTGTTTCCAGGGTCACAATCTATGTAATCCATCTTTATGTTTAATTTGAAAAGAAATTGTTTCATTTTATGATGTTTGGATTTTAGAACAAATAAAACCTTAAAGGAACAAATAAATGATTTTTCTTTCTGTTTGTTCGCTGAACATTTGGGCTGATTTGTATGTCGCTGTTTTTCTCTTTTTTGGTTGATTTGTACTTTTATTCGCTTCAGAAAAAAAAAATCCATAAAAAATAACATCCTTCCTACAGGAAACAAAATCTCTTATCATTTGAGTCTTAATATAAGAAACATAATTTTTTACGTCTTTCAGACAACGTTTACATTCATTATTTGTTCTGCTGTAACTTCAAAAGATTAAAAAATTAGTTAGAAACTGGAAGAAAAACTACTTTAGAAGATTTACTGTTGAACAGAAATGAGGATGAAACTGCAGACTTTGTCTTTTCCTGTACAAAGTTTGTTTTTCTAAAGATTTTATTCATTTTACTATTCTTTTTCTACACTTTTTTGGCTTTAAAAATAAAAAATAAAACAGGCAAACGTCTCATTTACATGTGACATAAAACACGACTTTCCATCAGTGATGAAACATGAAGCTGGCAGACACACACACACAGAAACCCACTTTCTCTGGTTAGATCTGTTTCGCTCAGCGCCTCTGCAGCCCGTTCAGCCTCAGAGTCCTCCAGGCAGGAACAGGCCCCAGAACCCGGTTCTGGTGGGTTCTGGGGGGTCAGAACCCGGTTCTGGTGGGTTCTTGGGGGTTAGAACTGGGTCAGAAACATGGGGCCAAAACAAGGCTGAAAAATTCTGCCAGAATTGTTCTCAAACTGGGCTGAAGATTTTAAGCTCCCTTTTCTGTCAGATGTGGCTGGAATGAAACAAAATCTGGATTTTATTCGAGGCTGGAATCGTTTCTGACCCCTTTAGTTTAGTGTCCGGCGACAGAATGGGAAAAAAACTGAGAATCCAGCTTAACACTCGCTTGAATTTGACTCTAGATTTACTAAAAGATGCAAAAAGGTAGAACTTTGGAGCTTGATGAGGCCCATTTGTGTCCAGTTACATCCTGGTTGCTCCCAGATTGAATGATCTGGGCCTTAATATGCTTTGTAATACTCAAAAGAGTCCATTTAATTTAATTTTAATCAGACTAACGTGTTCACATGCATTTTCTAACTCAAAGTTTGGTCTGACTAACACTACAACACATTCTTCTGAGTGGTCCTGTGCAGAAATAGGAATAAACCTGTTGTTTGACTTATTTTTGTTAATTCTCTGTGTGCTCAGCTTTTCAGCCGTTTAAGGTTTTAGTACCAAACCAAAGTTTCCAAGACAAAAGGCAGATAAAAGGCATTTCCATCAAAATGTCTTCAGGTTTCTGTACGACATTCTCAACATCAAACAGCTTCTTCCAATGTGTGTTTTTAGCTGTAGATTTTCTCAAATGAGATTCTTCGGTTGTCATTTCTCCCGTTTTAAAGCTGTGTTTGGCCGTTTGTTCCCCACTAGAGGGCAGAAAGGTCCCAGAGTGAACCGGAGCAGTCTGAGTTTGGAGTGGGAGTTCGTTTCTGAAGGTGTTTGTTGTGTTTTCTATGAAATTTGTTTATTTGTATAGTTTATTTCTTATTTGCATGTTTAAATTAAATGCTTACATTAAACCAAATAAATAAATAACTAAATGGCAAGTATCAGATTTGAGGAGTTTAGGAGTTAATAGTGTTGTGCCTATTTAAGAGAGTTTGCTGTCCCATGAGGCG